TGAACTCTTGATTTCACCCCTCCCTTACCATTCCTCCTCCAGTCCTCCCCAACTTAAATAACACTATCCTCTGCCCAGTTTCTCAAAATAAAAATTCAGGAGTCATTTTTGATTTCTCCCTTTCCTTTACAACCCATGTGAAACCCATCATCAATTCTTTCTTGAAGTATACCTCCAAAATATATCTCACTTTTATCTGCTTATATGCATCTTTACTAGATCTACCATCTTATTCCAAGCCATTGTTAACTTAAAGGAGAAAACCAAAAAAAAAAAAAAAAAAGCTTCTTCATTGGTCTCCTTGCTTTCAACATTGCCCCATCTCCTTATCTAAGCCTTTCTTTACGCAGCAACAAACAGATCACATTACAATCTAAGTCATACCATGTCATTCCCACCACCTAAAACACTCCAATGGCTTCCAGGTTCACTAAAAGAATAAACTCTTTTACAAAAGGCCTTACATGATCTGGCCTCTTCCTACCACCCGAAGCCAGTCCCATGAGATGCTCCCTCTTGCTTTCTGACCACAGGCTCACTGTCTAAATCACATTAATTTATTATCTACCTTAGGATCTTTGCACTTTTTTTTTCCTGCCTGAGCACAATTTTTGCTTACCCTTTCCATGTCTGCCACCTTTAGGTCTCAGCTTAAAAAGACTTCTTTGACCACTGTATCTGAAATAGATTCCTCATACAATTTATTCTCTATCTTAGCATGCTACTGGATTCTCCCATAGCATTATCTTTAATTATTTTGCCATTTGTTCCTTTGTTATTTTTATCTCTCTACATTGCTTAGCTGTAAAGTTCACGAGGGCCTGTGTCTGATTCAGAGTTATATCTTCACAGCCTATCATTGTTCCTGACACACGGTAGTCTCTCAATATCTACTGGTTCAACAAATGAATGAATGAATGAGTGTAACAGATCAGAAGAGAATGAAGCTTTATTGTTCTGTTGTCCTGTGGATTTGAAGTGTTCTTTTCATTTACATATTTTTAAAAATATATTCTCTGCTGACATTCAATTAATAAAGCTAGTACATAACACATTAATTTAATTTTTAGGTTGGGCTATAGATCATTTGAAAACGTTGCAGGGATATTTTCATTTGTGTTGGAAAATTATTCCAAATTTACCTAAGTGTATATACTTCCCCATGTTTGCTTTTCCATTTTAAAATGTTATCAAAGCTTTACAATAAAATTTCTCATTGCACTCCTTTGGGGGAAATGCAGTTTTGCTTATTTTAATGAGCTGCTTATTAAGTAACAAGAAGGTATGTTAACGAATATTTGACTCTCGGTAAACAGAAAAGTGCAAGAAAGCCTTAGAAGTGGATGCAGCTGTAGACCAGCTGCCTGACTAAGGGCTTCAAAAGTGAGGTGTGGATTGTGGCCTTGTCAATTACTAGTTGTACGGTTCTTGGGCAACTTATTGGAACTTTTCTCAGCCTCCTCTCTAACAGAGAGATGATGCCCGCCCTGCTTATCTCTTTGTGTTGTTGTGTTAATCTTGCTAGAGAATATATGTGAAAATGTTTTCAAAGCTATAGAGGACTCTACTAAGGTGAAGTCCTACTATGTCAGCGAGCACCCTCGCAAAATAGACCCTAATTCCCTGCTCTCATTTCAGAGAGGTTGTGGAAGATGATCTAAGGCAATCATGTATATTTGAAGTATTTATTATTCCAGATCACGTGCCTCAAAAGATTGAGATGCACAAAAGGTTGGAAGCGGGTAAGGGCTGGCTAGAGTGGCTGGTACCTTAGCTCTGCATTTTTAAGAAGGTGTATAACAGTGTCAAAAGTGGATAGGAGCAGAAGGGAACGCTTTTCTAGCTCCTTTGTGGAAGGGTTCATTTGTTTGCCACTTCTAAGCAGGAGCAAGCTACTTCAGGATGACAGCAGACTGAGTGCCAGAGATTGAAATAACTATATCCCTTCCTTCTCTTCTCACTTTTTCCCTTTTTCTTCTCCAATGGGAGAATGTGGGAGACAAGGGAGAGGAGACCATGGAGGGATGAAAAGAAGAGAACCATTTCAGTTTCTTTTACTTCTCCATTGCAAGCTGTGCTGCAGAGTTAAAAATATGTAATTTAGTTTCCAAATCTATTTCAACCCCTGCCTGGCCTACTGAGCAATCACAAACCATCCAATTTCAATTCAAATCTTTGCTTTTAGCTTTATTTTAAATTGAATGAAGCTAAGTTGTATAAACAGATATAAAGTAAATGCTCCACAAAGAGCAAAAGTAGGATTAAAGGAAACAAAGTAAATCTGTATTTATAGCCTACTGGTCAAAATCTGAATGGTTTTCATTTTATTTTTAAAATGCCAAACTTTCCACAAAGTATGAAATGTCAAAGAAGGGATCATACTAGTGGCATCCCAGAGTCTGTGCTAACAATGAGTTTTCTTATTATTTTCAGTGATGTTCATTCACAACCTCCTGTAAACAGATTACACATTTTCTGCAGGTGAGAATTACTACTCCTCTGTCACTTTGGGAATACTACGCATTTACAGAGAATGACCCACTTCTAAAAAATGAATCACATTTACCACAAATATTTATAAGCATAGCCAAAAGATTGTGCCATATAGTAAATTTCTAATGATGAATGAACTGCTAACAGTTGAAGTAAGGTGAATTCAACCCCTTCCCGTAAAGCTACAAGAGGATCACCAGGTGGGTAATGCAGATCATTTGGCAGTGACAATTAAGACGACTAATAATGCCCTTGAGAATTTTCAGCAGTACTGCAGCTAACCAAAATCCAGTAATGGCTTACATAGATTGATTTCCTTCATTTTATTGTCTAGATAATATTATGGGAGAGGGTAGTGGGTAAAAAGGATGCATCTACAATGGATCCCTTCTTCCTTTTGACTTATAACTTTCCTTATAACCAACTGGGCAGGTATTATTTTAACTTTCAACATTTAATAATAAAGCCATATGGTTTCAATTATAACTTTTCACTTTAATTGATGTGCAGGTACATCAATTCCCTAATGAATATTTAAACTACATATGATTTGATACTTCTGTTATTTTTTTTTTCTTTACTTGAAATGTCAAGTTTAAAACCTTTATGGGCAGATGAATCCTCTTTTATTGATATAATATAGTCTTAAATGATATCACATCCTCTGAAACATTCTCCATAAAATTATTTTTCATCTAAAGTGATAATTTTCCAGTCACATATGAAAGATCCTGCATTGACAAATGATTCACTTCTGTATGGAGCTTCTTTTCAGATTTGCATGAAGGCAAATGCAGTGCTGAGGATCCCACCCCTGGAGAGGCAACCTGAAAAGAACCAGGAGACTTTCACCCTCTCATCCATTTTCATCACTGTCAACATGCAAAAGCTGAACAAATACCCTCAATGGCTCCCCATAATCTTCTCAATACAATCCGGAAAAAAGCAGGATCAGAAGACCTGATCCCAGCCAATCATTAACATGCTATGTGTCCTTGTATGAATCTCTTTCCCTTTCTAGTCTTCAGTGTCCTCATTTGTTAAATGAGAAGAACAAGACTAGACAGATGCCAAAGAATCCTCCAACTTGACTCTTATTTCCAACAACTCTTTCTGAACTGGGACCATCCTCCTTCTAAAACATGTCTAATTCTGTCCTCTTTCACAGGAATGTCCTGCTCTCTTTTACTTTCTCTATTGTCCCATCATCTTATGGGACATCCTCTACACCTCAATAGGAAGCTTAAATTCCTCCCTGCTTCTAATATTATGTTATACTCATCACATAGTATCTGATATCATCCCAATCTTCATGGATTTGTCTTTTAAATACACAACACAACCTGACCTGGGTTCACATCCTGCCTATGCCACTTACTAACTCTGAACTTGGACCAGTTACTTAACTTCCCAAGCCTCAATTTCTTCATCTCTAAAATGGGGATAGTAATCGCTTTCTCTCAGGGTTGTTGTGAGGGTTACACAGTAATGCCTATAAAATGCCTGGTATATATGAAAATTTAAATAAATACAAGTTTAGTGGTTGTTATTATTATTATTACTAGAAGACAGAGCCCATGTCTTGTTCAACTCATTTCCCAAGAGGTAACTAGCTCAGTGTAGTGGTAAAAACAGGGAATTGATGGGTCAGAAGACCTGGGCTGACACTTCTAGTGAAGTCAGCATTCTGTCTGAACTGGGCTGAGAAGGTGCTTGAGGTTAAGAATTATATCTTGAGATTCCTGTGAACTTAGTGCCTAGCACAACGCTTGCCACATAGACTCTCATTATATAAGCAAAGGGAATATGAATATGAAAAAGAGCAACAGTACTGTTACTGGATGTGCCTCTATTAGAACCTTTATAAATATTTATTGAAGGAAGAAATAAAGCTGGAACACTTCTGATTCCAAAGTCTTAGGAGGGAAGTAAATGCCACCTTCCTAAATAAAGTAAAAATTCATCCCACTGTGGAAGAGAACGGGAAAGCATTAGGTTCTCTAGCAGAGCAGGCAGCTTCTGCCCCCGATCCATGTCCTAGGCAGAACACAGGGCCGGCTGAGGTTTTGGTAGAGGGAGGGACACCACGTGGGTGCAAAGGGGACTTTAGATCAATGCCTCAAGTGCAACCTGCTCTGAGCAAAGTGGCCGGGTTGGAGGAAGTCCATTCTCAGGGCGCAGCGCAGCGGGGCAGCTGAGCCCCGAGTTCTCATTTTTGACTCTTCCCCTCCGACTCCCCCACCCAGCAGTCAGGTCCCAGGAGGTAATTAGTGTGGGGGAGAGGAAAAGCTTCTGAGGGCGCAGGAAGATGGGGAAGTAGGGTGGGGGCGGTCTTCTTGTCAGAGGTCTCATCAAGAGAGGAGAGAGAGAGGAGAGAGAGAGAAACAGATTGAGAGATTTTTCATTTTTGCACAGGAGGCATACCTAGTGATATTCCCACAGACAGACAGACAGGCAGACAGAGAGAGGGACAGAGAGGACACACGCGCGTTTGAAATCGTTCATACCCCCAAATCCGGGACGCAGCCTGTTGTCATAACCATCGAGTAAACTGTCCAGGATGCGGGTAAAATTTTCCTGGCATAATTTCTCCTCTTTTTGGTTCTGTCCTGGGGTTTCGTTTAAACTGCCAACGCAAAAAACAAAACAAAACAAAACAAACAAAAAACAGGGCGGGGATCTTTTTAAGAATCCGCCAGAGAACAGGTGGAAACAGGTTTATCTTCTAGGGAAAGTCTCTTACTCCAAGCTAAAGGAGGCATGGCTGAGGGATGGGGGAGAGAGAAATGGTCAGAAAAGGCGCACTTTGTGCACACGCACCCCGATACCCACACTCTTCTTGCACCTGGTGCGCCTTCTGCTCCCCAAGTCTACGGGGTCACAGAAAAGCCAGGCTCCAGCCCCTGACCTTACAGCAGACAGGAGGGTCTGGTTTGCCTGGGAGGGACGGGCGGCCGGAGGGGGCCCGGAGGGGGCCACTTCTCCACCTTCCCCCTGCCCCCCAGGGCCCCAGGGAACTCACCAAGCCGCCAGGCACAGGAAGTGTAGGAGGGCGAAACTGACCCCGGAGGATGTCGCGGTCGCGCGTACCTTCTTGGCAGAAACCATTTTTGCAACATGCCATACTTTAAGCCTGTTCACGTTTCCAGCCTCTTAAGATGCCCTGAGCAGGGTGCGAGGCGAGGGCAGAGGCTCTCCGCGGCGTGCGCACACTCGCGCTCACACTCGCCCGCGCTCACTCTCGCCCGCGCTCAGCCGGCCCGAGCCGCGGTGGGCGCGTGTGTGCACGCGGGCCGGGGGGAGGCGGAACCTGCCTTTCCTCGCCCCCTCCTTTTCTCGCGCAGCTCTCAATGTGTATGGAGAGCTATGCATACCGCTCAACACCCTTTCGTGCCCGCCTCCTGAAGCTTTCGGGGTTAACACTGGCGCGCTTGCACCGCTACGCTGAGCAAGTTCTTTCCGATCTTTAACTCTGGGGAGCAGGACCAGAGTCTCCTGCCCCTCCTCGGGTCTACAACCCCCTACCCCAAGTGCGTCCCCACCACACAGCATTGCTTAGCTTTTCCCTCCTGTTCCCCCTCCCTCCTGCTAGGATTTGGATCCAACCAATGAAGCCTCTCTCTCCGTAGGTTGTTCCAGGACCTGTCTGTACCCATTTTCAAGGCAGGAGGTGGAGAAAGGGCGGGATGACGGCGATTGCTGGGAGGGTGGGGGAAGCGTGGTGAGAAGAGGGGATCAAGTCACGACAGACACAACCTTTGAGACTGTCCCCTTCAGGGGCTGCGGGGCGGCGAAAGAAATAAGATTCTTCCTGATAGAAGGGGTTGCAACTCACTGGGCGGACTCTTGCAAACTGTTAGGAAGTGGACTTGAGCCTCACTCTGTAGTCAACGCTTTTGCCAAGCTGTTGCCATGAAGATATCAAATTCCTTTATTATACCCGCCCCGACCTGGCGCGCACAGGCCCTCCACTGCTGCGCCATCCTCTTCTGGAGACGAGGGGAGATGTGGAGACAAGCGACATCTGGTCGAAATCACTTTACTTCTTGCGACATTCCGCACTTTTCTTTCATAGTAGAGCTGACTTACTTCCAGAGGTTGACTGCTTTAGGGAGAGGGAAAGGACGGCTGGAGAGAGAGAGAGGAGAGAGACAGGAAAAAGAGAAAGTGTGTGCGTGTGTGTGTGTGTGTGTGTGTGAAAGAGAGAGAGAAATTAAAAATTAAAATAGAGGGGAGCACTTTGTTAATGACTTGAAAGGGAACACTAAGCACTATATCTTCAGTGTTTTATGGAACTAAGGTAAGAACTTCCAATAGACTTTTAAAAAACGTTAATTATTGGTTCCAAGGGGCAAAGGTGTCTTTTACATTATTAGTGGTGCATGTGGAAATTTTCATATGATGGATCAATGACCTAATTTCCATAGAACCAGGTACCACCAATAATTATGTTCTGTTTAGATCTGTGATGGTTTGTTCAAATTTTGATGACTAGTGGACTGATTTTATAGGGAAACAATCAAACCAAGGGACTTTTGGGGGTTTTTTTTGGTTTGTTTATTTTTGTTTGTCTCAATCTCCTGATTAAAGTTTTTCTTGCAAAGGGGAAGCCATTTCTGATTGCTAAGAGTACATAATAGCCAGAGGTATGTACTCTCATGATCTTCTGTATTGCTTCCTTCAGGTCAATTATTATACTTCATCCTAATTCCATTTCTATCATTCTTCTCTTAAAGACTATGATCTCCTCGAGGGCCTGAGCTGGGTAATTTTTGTTAATCTGTGGTTTGTTTTTTTGTTTCTGTTTTTTTTTTTTTTTTTTTTTTTTGAGGAAGACTTGCCCTGAGCTAACATCTGTTGCCAATCGTCGTCTCTTTGTATGTGAGCCGCCACCACAACATGTACACTGACAGACAAGTGGTGTAGGTCTGGGCCTGGGAACCGAACCTGGACCTCTGAAGTGGAATGGGCCGAATTTAACCACTAGGCCACCGAGGCTGCCCCTATTTTTTTTCTCTTATTACAGTACATGGCACATAGTAAGAGGACAGTAAATATTTGTAGAATGAGCAATTAAACAAATTAATGAATTGCTTGCTCCCAGAGCATCTTAATTACTTTAGATGATATTCAAGCTCATTCCCTTGTAAAAAAAAAAAAAAAATAGAGATACTAGTGTATCCCCCAAATATGCCGTGAAAGCATATGCCTCCACATAAGCTGATAGTACATTATATTATTATTATATTATATCATATCATATCATTTCTCCAATCTTAATGCTTTCCTACACTTTCTAAAACCCAAATCAGTATTATTTAAATATTTTTCTTTATAATTTCCATTAAAATATATACATATCAAAAAATAAATAATAAGAAAAATAGCCTTGGGGAAAGAAGTTCCATATTGTTAAAGATAAATTATCTTTAAAATTCCAATTTTAAATATGTGAAACTGACACCTTCAAAGAGATAAAAAGAAGATTCCTCCCTTCAGTGTAGCTAATTCCAATTATAGTTTTGTTAATTGGTGTATAATAATGTTTAAGATCAGCCGAAGATAATAGTAGAGATATTTATATCTCATTTTATTTTATATCACAGCCTTTCATTTTGCTACTCTTTGTATTACTTGAAGAAGTTATATGTTGGGCTTTACTGTCTGAAATCTTTAAAAAGTATTTCTTGTCACTACAAGTTTAAAACAACTCCGACATTCAGAAAATTACAATTTAATTTAAATCACAAATACCATCAAACATGCTATTAGTTTCCATAAAAACTATTATACATTATGGCCCAGATTGTGAGCAAATTCTTCTGATTGACTATATATAGCTATGCAGAAATATGAAGGTGTTAAAATTATACCTATACTTCCTTCTTTAAAGTTAACATAAGTCTTTGATTGCTATGTTTAATAGAATTTGAATTGGGTTCAGGTGCACTACTCCCAAACATCATTATGTTAAATCTATTATAATTTATCATAAAGGTTTACATCTAATATGGTGGAATGCAAATAATACAGATTGCCCTACTGCTAAAGTATTTAGATGGACACTTCAGAGTCCACCATGCCAATAAAATGTCCTGAAAATTAATACAAAATTTTATATTCATGCAAGGATGTGCATTTTTCTGTGAGGCTCTTCATAACTTTCATCAGGTCATCAAAGGCTATAGAAAACTATAGTGTGGACTAATCTTTCAATATGAAAGATGACATATATAATAGAACAATCAACCAAACAGGTGAACAAATATTTGTAACTAATGTGTGACAAACATCTCTATCCCATTTGATAACCTTATGCATTGACAGTTTCTGTAGACTATTATGTAGATCTTGAGTATCCTTTGAAAGTACTCAGTCCCATTTATTGTCCCTTTATCAAATGTTCAAGTAGCTTGGTACAAAAAATTTGGGGTGGTAATAAAATGAATAATTTGAAAGGATCCAACTTGTTTCTCTTTCTTCCCATTAATTACTTCTGGTAAATATTGAACCAATTTTAACCATTTGAGGATGCTAATGATGTGAATTGCTGCTTTAAATTCTGAAGGCTTGCGGCTATGCACCCAGTTGAAACATTTCAGTTCCAAGAATATAGAAGCTATTGACTAATTTTATGTTATTATTATTATTATAACATGTCATTTTATGTTATTATTAACTAATGTTAATGCATTGCTCTGTCCCATATATTTAGGATAGGTGAGAAGAGTTGATTTGATGCTCTCTAGTCATGCCTTTCCTTATTCGTATTAAAAACAATGCTTCTACTGAAATTTTACATGTATGCTGGTCTGTTATAATTGTCTAATTACAGACTTTTTTATCTCCACTATTAAGACACCTCAAAACTGTGTCTATTGTATCAATCGTTGCTACATTAAAAACGATGTAATCTGGGGCACCTGAACGCATTCTATTTGAATAAATATTTCATAATATTAGTCGATACTACTTCCAAAATAAGTATTTATTTTTCTTTGCCATATCATTAATGCATATTTAGTTATTTCAATGTGATTACTTGAAAAGGAATAAAATTTGGGCAATATTTGTATTTTATCTGAATAATTCCACACATGAAATTTGAAAAGTCAACTATTATAGTATTTTTAAATTATTAATTATTTTTTTATAATTGTCCATGATCAAGTTGAACATTGAAGAAGGTATATCCATACTTAATAGTCTGCAAGATCCCACATTAATTTAAATTACAATAGGAAATACTAGCTCTCTGATATCGGCTTTTGTTTCATTTGAAATTCCAACATTTTATAATAAGTAGAAAGAATATATTTTAAGGGCCTGGAATCCAAGTAATGGATTTAATAAATACTTTATAGGCTCATTTGCAAATGGCTAATAACGGGTGAAGCATTATTTTATTTGTTAGATCTTGAATTCTGAAATGAGTTCTCAGAGTAATTTTAGTAGTCTTACTTTATAGCCAATTCCAAAAAGCTATGATTGTTTTGTGTGTGTGTGTCTGTGTGTGTGAATGTTCTGTAAACTTTATACAGAATACTAAGTACTAGAAGAAACATTCCCTTGATTGTATTAGTGTATATGTGTGTATATTTTCAAAGTTTCATAAAAAAATATTATTATCAAGTGATATATTTTTTTATTCAGCACCTAGTAGTAATGATTAGCAAGGTCAACTTATACATTACTAATAGTGCCCCAAATTAAATATATTGTTAAATTTGTTACCACGTGCCTATTTTATGATAAATACATTGTCTTTTTTCTTTCTTCTTTTTCTTTTTTTTTTAACGTAAACAACAGAAGTTAATTTTCTCACAATTCTGGAGGCAGAATTCAAGGTCAAGGCGTCAGCAGGGTTGTTTCCTCTGAGGCCTCTCTTCACAGCTTGTTGATGGTCATCTTCTCACCGCGTCCTTACGTGGTCTTTTCTCAGTATGTATGTGTGTCTGTGTCCAAACTCCCTCTTCTTGTAAGGATATCAGTCAGATTGGATTAGGGCCTACCCTAAAGACCTCATTTTAACTCCATTATCTTTTTTAAATCCCTATTTCCAAATAGAATCACATTCTGAGGCACTGGAGGTTAAGACTTCAATATACGAATTTCGGGAGAAATACAATTCAGCCCATAACAGTGGTGATCTTCCTTCAACTATATAGAAAACAAAATGAAAATAATATACATGGAATGAGTTTGTAATTTCATTAAGATACAAAGGCATATTATATATTCTTATATCAATAGTATTAATGATGATAATCTTTATTGTAATAATAACAATTATCCTTTATTAATAGCTAATATCATTTAAATATTCAGAAAACAATATTTATGGTTAGATATTATTTCCCTCATTTTATAGATAAGGAAACTGAAGCTTAAAAATGTTGAGTAATTTACTCATGGTTACACGACCAAAAAATGGAAAGGTCAAGATTTTCTTCTCTTTTGCTGAAGAACTATTTTGATAAAATTTATTTTTGCTTTTTTTGTTTTCTTTAACTTGATATACTGTGTATATATTGTGAAATGATTACCACACTAGGGTTAATTAACACATCCATCTCCTCACATATTTATCTTTTTGTGTGTGTGTGGTGAGAATATTTAAGATCTACTCTTTTAGCAAATTTCAAGTCTACAAAACAGTATTGTTAACTACAGTCACCATGCTGTACTTTAGATCCCTAGAAATTATTCATCTTACAATTGAAAGTTTGTACCCTTTGATCAACATCTCCCCATTTTCCCCACCCCCAGGCCTTGGCAAACACCAATCTACTCCGTTTCTATGACATCGACTTTTTTAGATTCTATATATAAGTGAGATCATACAGCATTTGTCTTTCTCTGTCTGTGTTATGTCTTGTTTCAAGACTAATATGGGACTAATACAACCAATTTGGAAAGCAGTTTGGCAATATGTTAAAGTTTACCGTGGTCGTACATTATGATCAAGCCATCCCATGCCTGTTTTATAGGTTGTAGAAACTCTCAGACATATTCATAAGGAGGGACCTAAAAAAAGTATATTGTTTATAATAGTAGGAAACCAGAAACAAATTAAATGTTATTTAACAGGGAAATGGATATAT